GTTTGTGAAACGAGTGTGTGTCTATCACTTTTGCCAACCTTAGTTCTTGCCAATCGTAGGAGTTCTTACTGATTTTTGCAAAATTTTTTAGTACATAGGAGACTCATTAATTTCGAAACTAGGATGATTTATTCAACAAATTACGACTTTATATAGAGATTTCTGCTAATCTTTATAAAATATCTACTTTTAGTATATAGTAGACTCATATTAATTTAGAAAAGTAGGAGATTGGAGTAACAAAATAGTGAAAGATAGATATTTATTTTTATGTATAGGAACCACGAGTCATTTATATCATTGTTATGAGGAAACGCAAATACTTTAAGTTTAAATACATGCTCATATATTTAGTGTGGTTTGCTTCTCCTCGACATCGCTCGACATAATATGTTTGGAAATAAGTACATTTATTATTTTAACGTTATCTCAGCTATTTTTAATTGCTCCAAGAAACATTTTAAATATGTTCATTTGGAAGTGTTTGGAACGATTTTATCGAATTTCATGAGAATCAGAAGGTGACCTTTTTAGAATTACGTTCACTACTCCTGTTAACGTTAAATATTACAAGCTATTTGAATCTTATGTTAATATCTACTACTTATCGGCGTTTTGACTTTAAATTTACTTTAGTGATCGAATATTTAGGAAAGCTTAGATCAATATTTTGTAACTTATATTTAAACACGTTAAATTTAACACGTTAAATGCAATTAATTTTTAATGGTCCAACTGTCATATTGCACCGCGTACTAGCATGAATATCGTAGTCGTGGTAAATAATGAAGCATAGTATATTCTAATATGTTCAATTTCTACAGTCACGTGTAACTTAGATAATCTTTTGTGCGATCGATCGCATGACCAAATGAGGATCGTCGCTCGCAGAAGCGCGCCTCTGACTTGCACGCGATACGTTTAATTCCACGTTAAAAATTCCGCTCTCGCAGCTCAACGAGTCTGTCGTTAGCTGTGCCGACACGTTCGTGTTTCGATTACCCGCGACGTCTGTCATAATCCGTCTCTCGCGAAAACGTGAGCCGATATAAATGTCGTAAGCAAATATACGCGGCGTCATGCTAATTCGCAATTTCGCTCCGTTAAATCATCATGGCGTATTTTCGGCAGAATCTGATGTATCGAGATATACACACACTAAAAGAGAGAGAGAGAGAGAGGGGGGGGGGAGGGAGAGGACGATTGATACGAGAAGGAAGGAAGGAGAACTAGGCAGACGACGAGGCGACACGGAGATATAACCAGAAACGCAAACGTTTGGTTTAGCGAGTCATTCTCGAACGACAGCTCAAATGACGGTATCTAGATAGGCGTCGGGATACTTTGCCAGGTGTAGCGTGAAGTTTATCGGCTTCATCGAGATGCAAGGGCGTACTGACTGATCGAGGTTTATCGGTGTCTACAGGTTTACGTAGCTATCCCCCCCGTTAATCTGTATTGAATTATTTAAAGTTTAATAATTACAATCGCTCCCCTGGCTCCCGCGTTGTGCGCATCTATGTGAGTTGTTAATTATGAGATTGATTTTCTTATATTACATAGCTCATAGGGTATTCAATTAACATGCGCATGCCAGTGAGCCGAGTAGTGCGAATTTTAGTTTAGTAATTTTCAATCAAATCTTCAAATGTTTGCGATATTTCTTGCATGCATACGGAGAAAACTACTATGGTCGCTACATTCACATATTCTATGGTGAGGAAGAAAATGTATGTGATTTCAAGTTAAAGAGATGTGGCATTAAAAGTTGCTGTTATTACATGCCCATCTATACAGTTCTCACAATCATAGTTTCTATGATATGTAATGTTCAGTTAGTACATCCTCATATACATAGTTGCCACATCCAAAGGAATATTGTTGTCTCTCTGTTGTGATTTGCAGAACAAATACTATAGTTGAGGGATTCATAGAGTTTGGTTGCACTGTACAGCACTGAGAATACTGCTCAAACTCATATGGATAGCAGTAAAGAAGGCTAGTGTATCACTTGCAGAGTAATATAGTTACCACAACTATCTTGTACCCATAAGCAAAAAATAACATTAATATTTTGTTATGACAACTATATACAGGCAAGTGATATCCTTAGTGTTTTCTCTGTGCAGAAAGACTGTCATCTTATTGATAAGACAAGCAAGTGAGTTTATTCAGTTTATTTTCCTTTGTTTAACTGATGATTATCTTCAAGAAATAATGTTTTCTTGATAATATAATCTTAAAATATACTCATCATAGAGAGAAACTTATTACAATATAATATATTTAAAGGAAGAATTTGTTCCTTTTACTTTATCGAAGAGATAGCTGGTTTTACTTTATGTAGTAAGCAAACTGAATTTTTATTTCAATTTTATATTCTTAATTAAAATTATAAACTTACTAGGATTTGCGTAATTATCGTGCCAATATCATTGTGTGCAATAACATTGATGACAAATCTAGAAGATAAGTGATTACCATATTCTATTTTCTATTCTATTTTATTATTCTATTTTCATCAAAGATTGAAAAACACATTCCAATTTAATATAAAATAATTAAAAGTTAATATGTAATTTTTAATTAAATCTTGTAGGACAAAGTCACTAAATATACGGATATATACGAATTTTCTCGCTCAAGTTCTTTGGTCTAGTTTGGCTTCTGTTAATTGTGATTAAATTAAAACTAGAATTGCATAATGAAAATTACAATTACAATTTACACAAAAGAATTCAGAAGAATTTTAATATTATATCTTAATAATATTAATAAAATTGTGCAGAAATATGCGACGATTGTAACGTATATTGAAAAATGTATTAATATAAAATAAAATTTGATATTAATAGCGTAATATAGTAAACATTGAGAATAATAAAAAGATATTTTGCAATCACGCAATGAGCGTGATACAACTTATAAATTAAAGTGACCAGATTTTCCAGCCCTGAATTCGAGACACTTCATAAATGTGTGAAGCGGGGGGAGGGGGATAAAAAGATCCGAAAATTATTTGACAATCATTGAAAATAATAACAAATCAGTGTCCTGAATAGTACTCGAAAAAATTCGGGACAAGTGGTGAAAAATCGGGAGGTCTGGTCACCTTAACTGTATGTGTCGAGAAAGGAGGAGATTACTCCGTAATAATGTATTTACGAAATGTCCTGACGACCGCACGTCGTTGTTTTCGGCACTCTAATACTTATTTCCGCAGGAGACTCACAGGACACAAGCGAAAAACGTATGGAATACGGAATATTGTGTCCATGGCAGTTACTCGGCATGAAAAGATCACAGACGCGCGCGCTGTCAATCACGTACACCAAAAGTTCATTAGCACGCCGAAAGTGCCAAAAGTGCATGAATTTGAACGCACCAGTGATGCGAACGAGGTCGCGCGTCTACAACGACGCGATCTGTACGGCGCGCCGCGGCGGACGCCTTAACTACTTGCTCGAGTAAGGAGTTGAGCACAATAAAAGGAACAAGGAACAGGGAACAGAGAATAAAGAATAAGGAAAACAAGAAATAATGCTATTCCTCTGTTCCTCTATTCTGCATTGATGAATTAGGTTTCATGTTTTAATATTGAACTGTTCCCTATTCTCTGTTTCCTGTTCCTTTATAGAAATATCATACTAAGAATTATTGATAATTATTTATTATCCAGTATTTTTAATACTGAAAATAAGTAATTATCAATGATTCTTAATATGATATTTCTATAAGGGTTTTCTATTCTCGATTCCCTAATCCTTATTCCTTTTATTGTGTTCAGTCCCTAACCACTCTAGACCAATCGCGTTCGTTTCGCACTACGAGGTTGTTATCGTAGTTATTCAATCTAGACGTTGGTAATGAATCGCGCGAAATGCTCGATCTTTTCGCGCCAAGCAGCAGCCATGGGCACACATCGATCCACATCGCTCTGCGTTTCTCGTGTCTTTTATCCGTCGAAAGTGAATCTCACGCGTTAATAAGTCTCGGGAGTGTTGAGAATAGCGATGTGCGATCGCCGAGGCGTATCGTGAAGACGGCATTTGTAAGTAATCTTCTCGTTTCTCCTCGCGGTATATGCGGCTGGTGCTTGTCGCGACGTGTCGCGTCGACGTCCCTTACATTTGCTAAAAACATCGACTCGCTCAAGTAGCAATAGAATCGGGCGATCGCTGGATTTATTGAATGGAAATTAGAAATGCGATGACAATCAGAGAGAAAGGGAGAGAGATGCGGAACATTTAGGCGGTTGCGTCAGCTTGTTAGAAAAAGAGATACGGAGAGAGAAGTATCTCATAGAGCGCGTTCTTTTCGGCCGCGGCGCCGTTCACACATTGGCGTATATTTTCAGCGCGATTCAGCAATCGCGTGACCATCTTGATCCTCGATCTTTCTGCATCGAGTAACCGCCGTAGACATATCGATCGATATCGCTCCGCATTTTACGTGTCATTTAACCTGTCGAAAGTAAGTCTCGCGCGAAAATAAGTATCGGGAGTGTCGAGAATAGCGATGTGCGATCGCCGGGGCGTATCGTAAAGACGTCGTTTGTAAGTAATCTTCTCGTTTCTCCTCCCGGTGTATGTAAGGTGATCAGATTTCCCAGCCCTAAATTCGGGGCACTTCATAAATGAGTGAAGCGGGGGAAGAGGGGTAAAAGATCCCAAAATTATTTGACAATCATTGAAAAATGATGACAAATCGGTGTCGCGAATAGCACTCGAAAAAATTCGGGACAAAGAGTGAAAAATCGGGACGTCTGGCACCTTAAATGTAGTGAGCATCAAATGATCGGGACTATTCTGCAACGGCGCAAGTGTGTGTGTGTATGCGTGTGTGTGTGTGTGTGTGTGCGTGTGTGTGTGTGTGTGTGTATGTGATACGGCACGTAAACAACATATAACGGTCGCTTGACTTCGGCGCGCACGAATACATACATATATGGGTTATGTTTACGTCGCGCGCGTAGTTCATTACCGTCTTCGGCGCGGAGTCGAGCAGGTCGCGCGACGCGTCGCGCGTTTTTCTCAACTTTCCTGCGTCGATTGAAACGATTGTTACACATATTCCGATACTCGGCGCGTTGAATTGTCGTGCCAGAATAATCACGTGTTGTAACATCAACGGGAAATGTCTTGGGTAATTAGCACATTTCATTTCTATCCGAGAGAAAAACACGATCGAGCCGTAACCTAACCGTACCTGTCCGCCGTATTCTTAACTTCGTACTGAACCACTTTTTTACTATTGTAACTGATTAGGAAAACTGTTTCTTGTTTTAATTCTTGTAGCGTTTGTGTGTTGTACGACAGATGTTGACATTAATATCGTTATATAGTGAGCGTCAAATAATCGGGACTATTCTACAACGGCACAAGTATGTGTGTGTGTATGTGTGTGAGCGTGATACGGCACGTAAACAACATATAACGGTCGCTTGACTTCGGCGCGCACGAATACATACATATATAGGTTATGTTTACGTCGCGCGCTTAGTTCATTACAGTCCTCGGCGCGGAGTCGAGCGGGTCGCGCGACGCGTCGCGCGTTTTTCTCAACTTTCCTGCGTCGATTGAAACGATTGTTACACACATTCCGATACTCGGCGCGTTGAATTGTCGTGCCGGAATCATCGCGAGCATGCGACATCGACGGGAAACATACCGGGTAATTAGCACATTCCACTTCTGTCCGGGGTTTGAGGGAGAAATACGATCGGGGATATATCCTTAACCTAACCTAACCTAACTTGACCGCGGTATTCCTCTTAACTCGTCCGTACTCTCCACCATTGTAACTGATTGGGAAAACTGTTTTTTGTTTCAGATCTGGTGGAGTTTGTTGTTACACGACAGGTGCTGATCCAGAGGATGCAGTTCCTGCGGATGCAGATGCGGTACCGGAGGATCCGGTTCGGGCCGAGCAGGGTCGGCTCGAAGGTAAGGTTTACGTACACGTTGTACTTCTCTATTTAACTGTTCGCGGTCGAAAGCCGAGAAATAGCTGTCAGAACGACTCGAATTACGACCGCGGAGGGTTAATCCACTCGTATCTCTACGCGCACTTGCTTGTTAAGCCGCTTTCCTCGATCTAACTGGCAAAATTATATTTTTTGCTCCAGATCTCTCCGCTGGTAGTAGAACGTGGCCGATCCTGATTCCGGCGTATTCGGTAAGTCAGAGAAATGAGAAAAAGATTTTAGGTAGTAGTAGTTTTATTAGAGTTCTAATAGAGTTATATATATATATATATATATATATATATATATATATATATATATATATATATATCGGCGTTCGTACGCTGAGAGAAAGAGAGAAAATATATTTAAAAAATAAAAAAAAAGTATCTATTCGGTGGGTACAAATATAATTACATATTTACTGAAATACTTAAATTCTTTTATTTAAATAGAATAAACCATGCTTTTCATGAAAAGTTAAGGTTTTAAAGAAACATATATCTTTCCTTATTTGAAAAATAAGAATTATTTAATAAATTATTTGAGTAAATTGAATTTGAAAGAAATTTGAAAAATTTTATGTTGGTATAAGTAAATATATTATTAATAAAGTCGCCGAATACAATATTTTTTATTTTTTAATATTTTTTTTTCTCACGCACACAGTGTATGAAATCTCGTTTGGAGCAATACGACTTACTTTGTAGATTTATGCATGTGTCTATGTTGTCGAAATAAAGTATTACTTGAAATAATTGGGGGATCGTTTTTTAAAACTTTGACATGATCTTTAGAGGATATTTAAAATGTGTGTCGAATCCTTTTTCTTTATATCTGTGTGATTTTAATATCTGATAAATCTCTTTATAAATACGATATTTGATCTGGTTATTATATTTAGTTCTCAAACTACATAATGATTCGACAGAACTATTGGAGATATTTATACAATCCCCTAATTGTTTCAACTACAATCTACAATGCGCATAAAATTTGCGTTACTCCATGCGGAATTGGCGATTGCTTCGCTCACGCGTACCGCGTTAGTAGATTTTGCGATAATTCACGCGATCAGTTTATAGATAACGATTTCCTATATATTTATTCGTTTACACGTCTCGATTACTTTGCTCGCGAATTTTAATTCACGATGTCCATTATCGATTTCTCACATGCTATTCGTGCTGCGCGTGTACCATAGTGATACAAACGCGTTAGAAATTCGTGAAACGGGAAACCCGTTTTCCAGAAAGCGGAAACGGCATATCGTCTATCGTATTTTCGATTTCGTCGAAGTATACCCATTGCGGTATTAAATTCGCGGATATTTACACGCGATTCGTGAGTGTTTCTAAGTGCCGAGATTTACCTTACTGCGATGAATATCCGTAAAATATTTTTTTATCTTTCGTTCATTAAATTCGTAACTCTTGTACTCGGGATAAATCAGAATTTTTCGCATATATGTCGTTAAAGTGCTCGTAAAATGCCGTACTCCTAATATTAATTCACGTCGCGAGTGACGTAAAAGCAAGTAAAGTGCAATCAACGCGGGACGACAGGATTGAGCTTCTGACTGCAGAAACGACATAGTTCTGTGGACCTAGCTGACTATGGATGGTCCTGGTTGAATATAGTCTTCGTTGGACACCGATGGATCTCGACGTGAAATGGTGAGTGTTAAATTTCAACACTCATAGAGTGTCATATAACGTAGTGCATGTTTAACAGTAAGTCGTATTGTTTTCCGACGAAAATAACAAGGGCGATTACTGCAAGTGCAATATTTTAACGACATATTTTGGAGTTTGGAATAAAAAATCCTTTGTCTTAATACACGTTTTAATATGACTAATTGCATCACTTGAAAGGCGTGGGACAACTACTTCATCTGAAAAGCTTCGTCGCGATGTTCTTTTGAGAAGACTCTTGTGTTAGGATTTTTTATTCTAATGAAGCTCTAGAACATGCGATTATTCAAGAAGAGATTACTTAAGAAATGCGGAACAACTACTTTATTTCAAAAACTTCGTCTCTTGCTATTCTCTCGTATCTTAAGATTCTGGATTCTAATGGAGCTTCAGAACATGCAATTATCAAAGAAAAATGAAAGAAATTACACTTGTACTTTATACCGATCTCAATTACTACGTACACAGAGAAAATATTGTAGTAAAAATTACTTTAAGATTATATTTCATTTTACAATGTTTCTTATTAAGCTGGACTAGATTCTTTGTCCTTGTAGTTTAAAATTACTTATTACACTAAAAGAAAAATATGTGAGAAATAGAAAATATTTATTTAATGGATATTGATAACTTATTTATCTAAATCCAAATTCTTTTGTTTAAGTAGAATAAACAATTGCTTTCATGAAAAGAAAGTAGATGGTTAGATTTATTAAGAAAATATATATTTATAAAGAAATATATTTATTAAGAAATATATATTAAGAAAATATATATTTATTAAGAAAATATATATTTATTAAGAAAATATATATTTCTTTTTTTGTAAAAGAAGTTTTGGTAAATATCACTTTAGGGGAGTCACCTCCGTATTTTTTACTAATTTTTTACGTAATTTTTACTACAATATTTTCTCCGTGTAAGTAGTAATTGAGATCGTTATAAAGTACAAGTGTAATTTCTTTTATTTCTTTTATTTTTCTTTGATAATTGCATGTTTTGAAGCTCCATTAGAATCCAGAATCTTAAGATACGAGAGAATAGCAAGAGATGAAGTTTTTGAAAATATTTTTTCCATGTATACGTGTTCTCTGTAAAATAATTAAGACTATTTGAACACTACGCGTTCACACTGCAAACCCAAGTATGTTATTTTGATTGACATTTCTTACCGTGTACGTCGTTTAAACGTATCACATCACGTCATTTAAACGTTATTAAGTTATAATTTACACGTCTCTTTTTCTCTTTCTCAAACGTGTTAAATGGCATGATTTCAATGATAAGAAACGTATAAGGAGAGATTCAACCATGTGACACGTTTAAAAATAACATACTTGTATTTCACAATGCAGTGAAAAAGAACAAAGACCCGTAACCTTAAACAAATATCGAAACATACAAAAGGATCGTATTATTGGAGAATACTACTCGCTATTCTCTCGATCGACGCTATCAGATGGAGCGCGTAAATGTATCTATCAGTGTTGTGTAACGACCTCTAGGCCAGATTGACCGAGGATCGTTTCTCATGGTCAAAGGTTCGCAGGCTAGGTACATAATTGACAGGCTCGCGCTCTCAAGCCATCGTTGAGAATAATTGGTGATCCTATCGGTTAGATGTCTTGTGTTCGAATCGAACGAGACGCGTTCCTCTTCCTGGAAGAATAGGGCCGCCACGGCCCTTCCTCTCTCGCATAGGTGCTGATCAATCCTACACTGATCTGATTGCGGGGGTGCGGTCGGTCGGTTGGTTGGTTGGTCGGTCGGTCGGTCGGTCGGTCGATCGGTTGGCGGGGCGCATCGGGAACAGGTTAACAGGCGCGCGCGCGCGAACCTGTTTTATATTCATGCTTTTCATAGATAAGATGATCCGTTCACGGAGCTATTTGCATTCGTGATCATACAGGTGCGCCGACGATTTATCGGCGTTGATCGGCGAGACAGGCTCTCGTGTTCCCAATCGCGCTTCACGTTATTATAAGTCATGCGCGAATTAATTAAATTCTGCATTTCAATTAAATCTCTCAATTAAATTATTAAATCTAAATTGATGAAATTCCATGTGCGGTTACATTACGGCCCGCGGCTTTGTCGACGTCGACTTGCGTTTACTCACCGGCTGCGAAGCAGCCGTGCAGTTAGGTCGCGCCGCATTCGAGAATGCGGGGTATAAACCGAAGATAAAATGTGGCGCGGCGGTATAATTTGCGCGTATATTTTCGTGTAGAATAAAATAGGGATTTGCAGTTGGTAATTTTCGCGCCACCCCCGGACTGGCGTGTGTGCAATTACGAGGAGTGGAACACGCGGAGAGATTCGAGGCAAAACACGGTGTCGCGACCCGAGTCGAAATTTTGATCTGACCTCTTACTTCCGACCTCAATGTGTTTCATTTAACATTTACTTTGATATTCTGAATATTCTTATATCAACCTCTTTTGATTCTATTTAACCTACTAACTTTGCCCAGCCCTCCTTCTTAGAACCTACACTGAAAGAAAAAGTATCTAAGAAATAGCAAATATTTATTCGGTGGGTTGTAATAGCATATTTACTTATATAAGATATATTTTTCAAATAAGAAAATATACATGTTTCTTTTAAAACTTCCAGGAAACGTGAGCTTTTCATGAAATCAATTATTTATTCTATTTAAATAAAAAAATTTTAATAAATGTGTGCTGTTAATACTTATTAAATAAACATTTTTACTAATTTTTAGATATTTTTTTTTCAATGTACAAGTGACATTTTCTGCCATTTAGAGTCTCGTATTAATAGTCCTTACTTGAAATTTGCATCATGTGAGATACTCAGATCTGAATTTCAAGTTGTATCAGAGCTTTTCATTTTAGTCATATTCGTGATATTACTTTTGTAATTGTAATTCAACAAAAATCTCGCATCTGATTTTAAAGGTCTGTATTAATAGTTGTTACCTAAAACTATGACAAAGGAAAGTAGTCAAAATTCTCCTTAAAAAGATCAGTTACTTTTAATAGTAATTCAACGACGATTTTGTTCCAATTAATTACTTCCAATTAATTATAGTTTAATTTTATAATTTTTTTTACTAAAATCCACACAAGAAAATACACTTTAAAATAAAATACTTAAGAAATGATAAATCTAACATAGAGAAATCAATATGATATATACATACGCTTTGTTGATTTCGTTACGTTAGATTTAGCATTTCTGAAGTGTTTAATTTTGAAGTGTTTAGTGAAAAATATAAAACTAAATTATAATATAAATAATATTTTAAATAATTGGAACAAAATCGTCATTAGCCGAATTACTATTAAAAATTATTCATATCCTTTTAAGGCGAATTTTGATCATGAATTCAAACGAATAAAGATGCTATCATCTTATATATTCAGTGACCCAAAGAACGCAAGATTATATGCATAACTTACATTACACTTTTTAGATCGAAATCGATCCATTTTACCCATCGTCCTTTCAACTCGGCTACGCGGCGCACTTTCATGACTCGGCCGGGATTTTGA